GTGGGGTGCGGTGTGGGGTACGGTGTGGGGTGCGGTGTGGGGTACGGTGTGGGGTGCGGTGTGGGGTAAAACAAGGCGTTTCATTTATTTACCAAAACTCCGACAATAGCACTCTCCCTGGGGGAGCCCGGACCCGGTCTGGCGTCACCCCCCAGCCCCCAGCAGCGCCTGTCCCCGTCCTGGGGCTGCAGCCCTGCTATTAGAGGCCACTGGCACCGACGCACCAGACTCCTTCTTGTCCCCCGCTCTTGCACTGGCCACACACACAGTGGGGTCCACTCTGTGCCGCATCTGGCACAGGAGCCCAGTGCTCGGCGCTGGGAACCCCGGAATCACCTTTGCTCCCGAGGACGTGACCGCCCTTGAGCAAAGCCATGGCTCCCGCTAAGGTCTCTGGTTCCACCCAGAAGGCAGGGTAGCGGGTCGCAGGGAATGTGGACTGTTGGGTAGCCAGGTGTGGGTTCAAATCAGGCTCTTTGTCACATTTTCGTGTCTCTGGTGACCTTAAGGGAATTACTTAATCCCTCTTAGTCAATTTCCTTTCTGCAAAATGGGCTGATAATAGAGCCCACAACAAAGGGTTTTCGTGCATTAGAGTTCGTGCAAAACACCACAAAACAAACCAAGGCCTGGAGAGGGAAACGGCAGCGTGCACCCCGCTGTCTCCAGGACAAGGTCGTCAGCGAGAGGACGTGGATCCATGGAGTACGGCAGTCCCAGTGGGAAGCTGTGCGCCCCAGCTTGGTGATGACCTAACCGGGCAAGACGAGAGCCAGGACAGGAAGGACTGTGCATGAGGGAGTCGAGCAGTGAAATTGCCCAGACTTGGTCACCGGTTGGGATGGAGGTGCTGTCTGCAGAGGGGGCTGGAGTCTTCCTGCGGCCCCGGTAGCTCAGGGGCTGGGAGTGCCATTCAGACTGAAGCCCCAGGAGGAGCCGGAGGGGGGCGTGATCACCAGGTCAGTTTGCAGAGCCTGAGGTCTGGCAGGGGAGGGCAGGGCGGAACACAGCTGTCTCCAGGCCTGGGCTGCAGAGGCCCCTGGTGGGGTGGCGGTGGTTGAGAGGAGAGACACGGCAGACCCCCATAGGAGAAGGAACAGTCAGGGAGGCCAGAGGAGACCCAGGAGGCCCAGGAGGCCCAGGAGGTCGAGGAGCTGGAGACATGGGTCATGGGCATTGGGCTGGGGCAGGGTCCCCGTGCCCCTCCTCCACTGGGCAGGGCAGTTGCAGGGCAGTGGTGGAGTGAGACGGGGAGTGAGACCAGTCTTGGGGCTAACGCGTTTGGTTGCAGGAAGCCAGAGTGGCAGCTGGAGAGGACGCACTGCTACGGGAGGGGTGTCGGGTCCGCTTTTACAGAGACTGCGTGTGTCGGTTAGCTGCCGGGAAGGGGCCAGTCGGGCGGGGAGGAAATGATGGGCCAGGTTCTGGTCCAGGAGCCGGCAGGAGTGGGGGGGCTCGCTCTCGTGGGGAGGAGCCTGTGGGAGGCGGGGCTGGCTCTCGCAGGGAGGAGCCTGCAGGAGTGGGTGGGGCTCGCTGGGGGAGGAGCCTGAGGGGGCGGGGCTGGCTCTAATGGGGAGGAGCCTGCAGGAAGCGGAGGGAGCGGGCGGCGGCGGTGAGTAGGAGGTGCTTTCCGCCCCGGGGAGGAGGTGCCCTGGCTGGGAGCCTGGGGCCAGGGTGGGGGGCAGCACCCCTATTCTGGAGGGAGGGGCAGAGCCTTGGTGAGGCCACAGGGCGGGAAGCTGCAGGGCCCAGAGCAGGGGCAGAACATTCACGCGTCCAGCGCCGCGTGCGCTGGAGCCTCGGAGGCCGTTACTCTGCCTGTGGTTGCGGGTCCCGACCGAAGTCAAAGGACTGAGGCCGCCGCTCTCGCTTGGGGGTGCGATCTCCTCCAGACCTTCCAGAGGCTTCTAGCCTGCTTTGGACCCGAGGAACACAAGGACAGGAGCAAGATGGGGCCTCCAGCCGCTGGGTCCGGACACGGACCTGTGCAGCGGGACACTTGGGATCTGGCAAGTGTGTCTCTGTGGGTGTTTCCATTAAATGCCAGTAAGCTCTCGGCTGACAGGGCAAGGACTTTAGATTGTAGGACATACATTATATTCAAGAGAATATCCCCTTACAGAGGGGCTCGCCTCCCGTGGTGTGTCGGGACCACAGGCCTGAGCACCCTCCTGTGTGTGTCACAGGCCATGCAGGGACACCGCCCTCCGGGCTGCGGGAGGCCTTCCTGTTCCAGATGAGTTGATGGTGTCTCCTGCTGGGGAACGGGAGGACGGTGCAGGCGAAGTCTGGCTCCAGACCCTCACCCTCACTCTCTCGGTGGAAGAAGGCCCCCCCGAACTCACCCCCCACTCACAGAACTACCTGGTCAGATGCTGGGAATCCAGAAATAATTCAGGCCATTCCCTGCCTTTGGAGGCTGCTTGTCCTAGACCTTGACACACAGGGACCAGCCTAAGAAGTGCCATGACATGAGGTATGTGTGACTCTGTGTGGTCACAGAGGGCAAGGCAGGTGTCGCAGGGAGATGAGGCTTTGGGTGAGTCCCATGTTCATCGGGAGCAGAGACCGGTCTGGAGCATTTCAGGGCAGTGGAGAACGAAGAGAAGGAAGGCATGTCTGTCCTCCAAGGGACATGGTGGTTGCCTAACCACAGTGAGTTGTGGTCTCTGTCCTCTAAGGCCTCTGGGAGACATTTCCTAGGGTGGGTGTCTCTGGCTGGCTGGCTGATGGATTTCACTTGGAGCCTTCACTGGCTCCAAGATGGGCCAGTGGCCCAGGCACTCCCTGAGACCCCAAGACCTCCAGGACTGCCCCCGGCCACCCTGGGCCGTGGGTGAGGAGCTAGGTTGTCGCTGGCTCCGACCCCTCCATCAAGTGTAGCCCCGTTTTGTGCCGGCACCCACTCCCTGCTGTGAGTCCGTGCAGAGGGGACGACGTGACTCACTGTTGTGTCCCAGAGCTGGAGCGCCTCCCAGAGCAGGTGTCCAGTGAGAACAAAGAAAGGAATGAGGACAAGCATGGGGGCAGGCGGGGGGACGTCTTCTCCCCCCATCTAGGAGAGCAAAGAGCCTCTGTGTGGCCGACTGGCCCCGCAGCCACAGCCCTGTTCTGGCCTCTGCAGATGCGTGGCCTGGGGCCCGGGTCTGTGAGCCGCCAACCCTGTGGGGCCTCCTTCCCAACCACCGTCACTGGTCCCTCCTCTCCCCTGTGCCGCGGGCCACTGATTGCCATGGTTACCACACTAGCCTGGCAGTCTCCATGTGACATTTTGGATTTATTTGCTAAATCTTTAAACCTTTGGGTTTAACCCTTCCTACCCCAAAGAGGGCTTCCCCGCCCTGTCGCCCTCCCGGAGCCCGCGGGGCCCGCCTGTGTTGTCTCAGACACCGCTACTGACTTTCTGTCATGTCGCCTAGAAATATCGCTCTGTCTTGGTGCCTCAACAGGGCGCGTGCAGTGTCTGTCAGCAGGTTCGAAACCGTGGCCCTGGCGGAGCTTCGGTGACTCCAGCGGAGGCCTCTCGCTGGCTCCTCCAGAAGCTTCCTCAGCTCTAGGAGCCCGACACGGAGGGGGTGTCCTCCGCCCTTGAACCCTTGTGGGGCCCTGTCTCTGTGTGGGGCTATCCGGGTGGCCTTGCCCTTCTCCGGCCCCCCTGGCCTCTGTCCAGGAAGGGAGCTGACTCTCACCTCAGAACAGCCTCCAACCTGAGACGGGGAAATTTGCAGACAGTTCTTTGTGGCTCGAACATCTTAGAGTTTAAAGGGACTCCTGGTACGTCTCTTACAACTATGAACCGGCCCGACATCTAAAAGCTTTTAGGATAATTAGAGTCAGTGACCGGCCTCCCTTCCCAGTGCCAACTCCTGGTCTCCTTCTCTGAGGATGGACGTCCAATTGCCTGAGGCCCCGGGGCCCAGTGCCCAGCGACACGGCACATTTCGTGTCCCTGTGGGCCTGTGTGTGCTGCCCATGACTTTCCCAGGGTTAATCCGTCCCATTTAGTATCATCATCGCTACTGTCTTCACGTGACGCTCTGCTCTCCGACACGGCAGTTCTCCATCAGGCCTGGGCCCCCAAGGTTCCCTGGCCTGTGTCTTCTCCTAGCTGCCCCTGTGGCTGTCCCTGCTGTGCCGGTCACTGCGTGGGACATCATGGGGATGCCATGATTCTAAAGACAGCCAGCTCTCCGTGGATTGGGGGAGTGTCTCGTGTTCTGGATGGTTGTCATGCTGTGGACCACCGAGAAGATTGTGAGTGTTCTAGTGTCCCCAGAAAAAAGATGGTAAAATGGCCACTGGCCAAATTCTCCAACACCCAGTCACTGGGGAGGACATGAGCTGGGCCTGGTTTATCTCTGAATTAAAGAAGTCAGGACAGCTGAGTCGAGCAGGGCTCTCTTGCCCTGACCGTGGTACGGACACTGGCGTGGGAGGTAGTGGTGGGGTGCCAGGGCTGTGGTCCGTAGGCCACATCTTGAGTCTGTCCCTTCAGTGTGCTTATAAAGCACGTGGTGAACCACACGTAACACAACATCAGCCATTTTGACGAGTGGACAGCCTCGTCAGTGAGTCCCGCACACGGCTGTGCAGCTGTCCCCGCCATCCACCCCCAGAGCTGGCTTTGTCTTTTCCTATGTAACCTTATGCCACCGATGGCCCGTGGGCGTGGGCGCCCCCCCAAGGCCCCGGCTCCCGCCAGCTTGGCCTGCGCAGACGTGAACCTGCCTCCCCTGTCCCCACTCACGGTCCTGCCGCACCCTGACCCCCAGGTTAGATAAGGAAAGTGGTTTGTAATGTCACGGATGCCTGTGGCGTCGCCTCCGCTTGCTGATCTCCTGTGTGCAGGGCTGTGCCTCTGTGACCTCTGTGACCTCAGGAAGGCCTCCTCACGGTCCGGGGGTGGGTTCTGTTACCGTCCCTGTTTGGGAGAAGCCGGCTGAGGCCTAGAGGCCAGCAACAGGCCCAGCGTTCTGTGGCAGGGAGGGGGAGGGCTGGAGCCGGGTCAGCCCTGCCCCGCCCTGTGAAGCCTCAGCGCCTCGGGGACAGAGCTCCAACCATGGACCCTGTCTCCTGTCTCCGCTCCCACAGGGCCCAAAGCAGCCCGGAATTTGGGCTGAGCCAGGGGGACTCTCCTCCAAAAATGGGCGCGAGTCAGCATGACAGAGCCCAGGGTGGGACGGTGACCAGAGTAGACCAGGCAGCAGCTCCTGGTCCCTCTGCCCCAGCTGCCCCTCTAGCAGGGACCCCAGCCTCTGCTCAGCTCCACGGGGCCCCTCTGCCTGTTAGAAACCCCTTCCTTCTCCTAGTTTCCCTGGGGTCCTCCCCTTGGGTCCAAGGCCAGCCGCAAGATGAGGCCGGGCATGTTCAGGACAGCAGTAGCTGTCTGACTTGGGGCCTGGCCTCCCGTCCCACTCCGGCCAGGATGCAGCCTTCCTGGCTGGCTGGCCAGGCCCCCTCCTGGGTCTTGTTCTTTCCTGCCCCTGCCTTCCCAGGGCCCGAGAGCCAAGGCCTGCCTGGAGTGCAGCTGGGCTTCCCCTTAGATGCTGAGCCGCGGCCTGTTGGCCGCCTGGGCTGGGGACCAGGCTTCAGTGGCTTCCTCTTTCCCACCCACACCTCCTTGTCCTTCTGGCTGTCCCGTGGTAAGGGTCAGCAGCCTCACCCCCTAGCCTCCCCTGTTGGACTTGCCAGGGTCTTCTCCTCCCCAGAGGAAAATCCCCGACCTCCCCGGCGTGGTTAGCAGCCCTGTCTGCCTTGCCCCCTGCTCCCCACTCAGCCCTTTTGGTCTGCACCTGCCAAGGCCTGCGAGCCGGTCAGCACGGGGCGCCACGCACCTGCCTTCGTGCTCTTTCCCGCAGCCAAGGACCGTTGGAGCCGTTGCCTCGCTTCCAGCTTGGTTGTGGGCACGGAATCTCGTGCTTACGAAAGTGCGTCTGTCGCAGAGGGGCCGGCCACCGGCTGCGCGTCCCGGACGCGGTCTCCCACCCTTGCTTGCAGAGCTGGCGTTTTGGGGGAAAGCCTCGTCTTTGGTTTGCCTGTTTGGCAGCCCCCCACTTGCTCAGCTTGTCCCTCTCGCCTGTCCGGGCCCTGTCTGCGTGCTGGGGGTCCTCTTTGCCTCCTGTCCTCCTGCGTTTGACATAATCACTTCCTCCAAACCGTTGATAGAAACCTGGAGCCAGAAACGGCATCTGGGGAGAGACTCTTCCTTTCAGTGGGTTAAAGACAGAAGGAATGGACAGACAGGAATTCAAGGATTTGCGGATCTTTCTTGTCCCAAGTGTTTTGTGGCCTCTCCTTTGGCTGTGGCTTTGTGCTCCCCCCAAGCCCACCCTCCCAGAAGAAGATCTGCTCTGCATTCCTGGAGCCACACTCCCTGCCTGGGAGGAGCTGTGAGCCGCGGGGTGGCCGCCACCGCCTGTGGACCCGCCTGCCCGCAGGACAGGGTCAGCACGGCGCCGCCCCACTAGGCTTCACAGCAGCGTGTTTCCACGACAGTCCCGAAGCCGCTCCCGGCCACAGCCACCGGCCCGGCATGACTGCTGACCTGTGGCTCTGCAGGCCGCAGCCCCATGCTGGCATCCGTGGCCGACCACGGCACGGCCACCCGTTCTGACCGGGCGCAGGACGGCCGCGGTCACTGGACTGGGCTCCGCGAGGCCGCTCCGAGGGCCTGTGTTCTGCGGTCGCCACCTCAGGCCCTGCCCTGCCCTGGCCTCAGTTCCCTCCTTTGTGCAGCTGGGGTGAGGCTCCTCCTGGCCCTCTCTGGTGCCTCTTGCCGGAATGTGCTAGAAACCTTGTTGGTTTGAGAGCAAAGAGAAATGATCACCACTGTGTGTGGAACTGGGGGGAGGGGTGGGCAGGGCGCTGTTTGTCTTCCTGCTGCTGTTAGAGATAGCAACCGCCGTCTGCCGCCTGGAGGACGGACAAAAGGTGATTATTTCATTTGATTCTGAGCTATTGAAGGTCTGTTCTGAGCTGGGCACCGTGGGGACGGCAAGGTCCCTGCCCTAAACAGGCTTGTGATCTAACGGGGAGGTAAGCCCTCAAGTCCCACCACTGCCTTGGCCGCCGAGCGCTGGGATGACACGGGCGGCGGGTGTGGTGGGTACAGCACGGACCCCGGCTGCCACGCAGGCCGGTTGGGATGGGCCTCCAGGGCTGGGCAGAGCTCCTGGGCTCAGGTGGGACGAGGGGGCTTTAGGGAAGGGGTGTGCTCGGGCAGGTGTGGAGCAGGGAATGGGGGGATGGGTGCCACACGGCCGTGGTGAGAAGTGGGGGTTCAGGGGGCTGGCGAGCAGACTGGGGGCAGCCCGTCACCTGCATGTAGAGAGGCACAGCCCCGTCCGCCAGAAGGGGCTCAGGGATGGGGAAGCAGGGAGCTCAGCCCCAGCCACACTAGCAAAGCGTTTTGTGGGTGACTGGGAGGCCTCACTCTCAATGCTGAGACCCGTGGGTGTGGGAAGAGCCCCAGCCCCAGGCCAGCACCAGTGCCGACCCACAGCCCAGCCCAGGTCAGAGGAAGTGGTGACAGGTCTCCCTCCTTGGGGGGTCATTAGGGAGACAGAGGCAGATCCCCGGCACACTCTGGCTCCCCAGTGAGAGCGCCGGGAAGCACGTCTGCCGGCCCCGGGGTCCCGCCCGGCAGCTCAGGACCTCACTGGGAGCCGGGGCCTCTCGGAGCCTGTGCTGTCGGATCCTTGCAGACGTGGAGCAGGAACGGAGCTGGTGGGGCTTTACCAGAGGCTCAAGGGTTTTACAGTTTGTTTTTTTTTTTAAAGATTTTATTTATTTATTTGACAGACAGAGATCACAAGTAGACAGAGAGGCAGGCAGAGAGAGAGAGAGGGAAGCAGGCTCCCTGCTGAGCAGAGCCTGATGTGGGGCTTGATCCCAGGACCCTGAGATCATGACCTGAGCCAAAGGCAGAGGCTTTAACCCACTGAGCCACCCAGGCACCCCGGGTTTTACAGTTTTGCTCTTCCCTGAGAATACACTACTCCACGCGGCCTGGAGACCGAGTGGCCCAAGGCAGGGCGCCTGCGTCCTTGCGTTGTCCGCAGCGCTCCAACTATAGGCTTGGGGATGCGTGGTGGCCACAAGGCCACCCTCCCACAGTGTGGTGGGTTGGGCTCCTTTCCCCTCGGGGTCAGTGACATCGCCCAAGCCTGGTGTGGGGCTTCTCAATTTGTCATGGGCCGCAAAGGAGCGAATGTAGGGAGACGGCTTGTCCAGAAGCAGCTGCTGTGGGGCAGGAACCACCCGTGGCCCCTGCTGCCGTGGCTCCTTCTGCTCCCAGGGCTCCTGCTGCCGTGGCTCCTGCCGCTGGGCTGGCTCCCAGGACATAGGCTTCCTTTCCTTCCTCCCCTCGGAGCGCCTGTGGGCACTGTCCACACCTGCCTGCTTCCGGTGCCGCCCTGTCCTGCAGCTCTACTGGCTGGCATGCTCCAGCCTTGTCCCCCTGTCCTATCTGAGCACGTGGTGTCTGTCGCTGTGGGCTGGCTTCGTGTGTGTGGCTTTCAGGTCAAACTGACAGGGCTGAGCTGTGCAGCCAGCACCGCCTGGCTCTGGAAACAGGATCAGGGGCACGCTGAGGGCAGGACCACGCAGCAGAGGACATTCTGATCTGGGTGTCCCTTCGGGGTAAATTTAGTTCCCGGGGCCGGTGCCACATTCCCGTGTGGTGGGAGCTGTCCGGGTGGCAGGGCGGGATCGCGTTCTGTCACCTGCCCAGTCTGCGCGGGGGCCACAGAGAGCCCAAGGCGTCTGACCGTCATTCAAGGCGCTAGGAAGCCGCCTGCCTTGTCTCCGGAGGACTGGCCAGGCCCCCCGTCTGCTCGGGGCTGATGCATCCCGCTCTGGAGCTGGGGTGCGGAGAGGGGGCAGCCCCCCAGAGGATGGCCACGGGAGATGTGGTGACTGCAGCTAACCGTTCCCAGGCCGTGTTTGCAGACCTCATCTCATTTAACCTTGACACGGCCTCTGGCTTCCCGCACACATCTGCTGTCCGTCTCCTGCAGCTGCTGTGACAAATTAATATCCATTTAGTGGCTGAAAACAACACACATTTATTGTCACAAGGTTCTGGAGGTCCGGAGTCCTGAATGGGTCTCACTGGACTAAACCTGAGCGGTCACCCGGCGGCAAGCCTCTCGGACTCTAGGGCGCTCCGTCCCCTTGCCTGTCCCCACTCCCAGAAGCTGGCATCTTCCTCCGTTCTCACCTCGGTTCTCAGGCACTGACCCCTCCTGCCTCTTGTGGAGGGACCATTGCGCTGTGTCCCCCGGTAAGCCAGGGTTCTGTCGCCCTCCTCTACCGGCACCCAATCACCGCGCTACTCCCGCCTGCGTCCACAGTCCTCTTTGCTTGTAGGGTGAACATATTCATAGGTTCTGGGGATTAGGATGTGGGCGTCTGGGGGCCACTGTCCCCCCACTTACAGATGAGGACTCTGCGTTAGATGGCCTGTCCCAAGTCGCGAGCCTAGAGTTGCGTCTGGAGCCACACGGCCTGAGACCCGCCAGCTCTCACCGAGGTGCCCCAGAAAACCAGGGGCAACTCATTCCCCTGGGACGGACCTGAATGGTGGGAGTGGGGAGGATGGAGGGAGTTTAACCGGTTCGAGTCTCCACACAGCACTGGTCCCAGCAGGACAGCCGCTGCTCTGGTGAGTCACTCCGTGCAGGCTCTGGACCAGGGGTCCTCACATTTGGCTGGATCACTCAGCAATCACCCTTTGCTTATTTTATTTTTTGTAAGGGTTTATTTATTTAGAGAGAGACTGTGCGAAGAAGGGAGGGGCAGAGGGAGAGAAAATCCCAAGCACACTCCCCCTTGAGCAGGGAGCCCCATATGGGGCCTGACCCTATGACCCCAAGAGCATGACCTCCGTGGAAACCAAGAGGCCAGGGCTTCAGCACCTGAGCCATCCGGGCACCCCAGGCACCACCCTTTAGAACAGTGCTGCGGCCCATGTCCCTCCGAGACCGGACCTAATTGCTCCAGGGAGGCACTGACTGTGCATAGGCTTCCCAGGCTGCTGATTCTGTTTTTTTTTTTTTTTTTTTAAGATTTTTAATTTATTCATTCGAGACAGAGACAGGGATAGAGAGAGGCAGAAGGAGAAGCAGACCCCTCGCTGAGCTGGGAGCCTGACACGGGGCTCAATCCCGGATCTTTGGGATCATAACCTGACCCAAAGGCAGACGCTCAGCGACTGAGCCCCCAGGTCCCCCTCCAGGTGACTCTAGACGTAGCAGGATGTGGGTCGCGGCTCCGAGCCGGTCCATGGCCTGCCTGCCTCACAGCCGCAGTCTCATGACCATGGGGACAGTCCCTCTTGCCCCAGACTGAGCTTCATGGCCCTTGTCCTGAGTGGCCGTGTCTCCCCCTTGCCCCCTCGGAAATGGCTGTGCACGGAGGCCCCCCGGAGTGGGCCTGTTTGCCTCCTGCACCTCTCGGACCCTTGTCAGGGCTGTCCACGGGGCTGACTTGTATTAATTCCCCCTTTGCATGTTATATTTCTCTGAAGGGTTTCTCCTAGAAAATACAATAAACTGGTTTTTAAGACATCCTCACTGACGTGGAAATTTGGACTTTGAAGCCGACGGCCAGGAAGAATTCTTAAGACGTCTTTGGTGCAGAAAGGTGGTTTTATTGAAGCAGGGGGACAGGCCCGTGGACGGAGGGATCTGCGCCGGGGCCGTGAGGAGGCCCATTATGTACTTTCAAGCTGGGAGGGGGTTAGGGAGAGGGTCCGCCTCCCAGGTGTTTCGGAAACAAGGTTTCCAGGGTCCCGAGGGGCTAGCTCTTGTTGGGAAAGGTCATCTATTACTGTTTGGTCCCTCAGATGTGTCTCCGGGGGTCCTGTGCTTGGGATTGCCCACATGTGTATCGGCA